TGGTGGGGAATGTGCACTGGTGGAGAGATGGGTGTATGATCATTGTGTGATTGTAACCCAGACATGAAAGCTTGTAACTCTCTCATGGTGATTCAATAAAATTTTTAAAAAATTAAAATCTAAAAGTTCTGAACCTGAACAAATAGGCATAATCCAGGAGGTCCATGTACGAGTTGGATTTTATCATGAAGATATAGGGAGCCATAAGAAAATTTAAAGCATTCATGTGGCATATTTGAATTAGGTGTTGCAAAGGTTTATCCAAAAGCACTGACAAGACTTGGGGTAAAGCAGCACTGAAGGAAATAAGATCGTGAGGGTCTGTTATATAATCCAAGTGTTGTAAAATTTGTATCTGTATAATTTGCTGAAACTCAGATTTAGAAGACAGTTTTAAGCAAATTGATGGGTATAAGTATATTTCAGAAAAATTTCAAAAGTACCCACTGCAAATCACTGAAAAACACTCTAGATCCAGGCTGTTGATATGGAAGCCACTAGCTACTTAAACATGTAGAAACATCCACGTGAAATGCAGAAATGTAAAACAGGAGAGAACAAAGATTCTATGGCATTAAATGCCAATATTTTGAATAGCAATGAAAGAGAAAGCTTGGGAAGCCTCTTTCTGTGAAGTAGTTACCCATCTCTGCCCACAGTTGTCCCTAACTTTTACCTGCATGCTATAGGTAACAAAGCTACAATAGGAATCAAGTTTTGTCGCATACAAGCTTTCACAGCATAGGTAAATGTACATTTTTCTGTCAAGTCCAAATCTTATAAAAATTTTACATTGTACCCCTCATGATTGGATCAGTTCCCTGACCTATTTTCCTTTGTCTTCCAGAACATCCTCCTGAGTCTATTGCCCTGCAGACTTTGCCTCAAGCCTTTGTTTACTCTGTTGAGAATCACTCAAATTGTGTCATTTTCTGTGCTTCTCCCAGAATCAGAAGTTCGATATAGCCCTTAAAGTGTTAATTGAATGTTCCCTCCAGTTACAATCCAAGACTTCTTTCCACACATTTCCTTTTTACATCAGAACACATATCTCACCATGCCATGTTGGTTGTATCCATGCTTTTTCCCATTAGACTGTAAACATTTTCAGTCTTCTCAGCCAGCCCTGTATCCCCAGGGCACCTGGCACAGTACCTTGCTCTTACCTGTACTCTGTATTTGTTACTGTTTTTAATTGGCTCTATTAACATGTAGAACTCTTAAGTCTTGAATCTAAATGAAAGTTCTCATGTTTTGTGATACTACTCTTATGAAAACTGTATCCCAAAGCAGAGGAATAATTTTACCTTGAGAAAAAACGTTGTTGTTGGAGAATTTAGCATCAAATACAAGGCACACAATCAGCAATGAAGTCTAAGGTTTTAAAGAGTCATTACTAACTGTACTTAAATGTTCAGAATCATAAAATTGTGCTCTGGATTTTAGCCACTGAGAAAACAGTTTGTTTATCCGGTGGCATAGAAACTGTCAGGCCTAGGAGTAGAAGTTAGACCTCTGGAAGCAAGTTTCTAACTTCCCCAAGAGTGTGCTACTTTTCATTGCTTTTATATAATAATTTAAAACAAAATTATATTTAAAAGGTAGTTTGCTGCTAAATCAGTTTGAAAAACCTTCAGACTTCTTTGGTAATCTCCATGATTCTGGGCCTCTGTTTTTTCATCTATAACATTTGAGAAAGGTACAGTGATATTTTGATCCCCTCCTGCCTGCTGTCAAGTGAAGTAGCTTACTCAGACCACATTAATGGCAGAAAAGATGAGAATTTAATCATAAAACCTAGTGGTGGTATCATTTGTTTTATTTCTCTCTCTTGTTGTCTCTCTCTCAAGAATATGACAAATAAGAGCTCTTAGAGTATATAGAAAACATTGATATCAGAAGGTATATAAATAGCATGAACAGAGCTGTATTCATCAGTTTACCTTATTTTAAGGCTGCTATCATAACTACTATAAATAAAGGTAAAGGTAAAGGCCCTCCCGTTGATCGTCGATTTGCTCGAGCGGGCCCAGTAACGTCTCCATTGGAGACTTTGTTGTTACTGTGTCTGGCATATTGAATACTCTCGGTAGCTTGCCGGGCTCTCCGAGAGGGGTGGAGGAATCGAACTCGGGTCGGCCATGTTGGCCGCTTGTAAGGCGAACGCCCTACCCGCTGTGCTATCGCTCCAGCCCCAACTACTATAAATACTGAACATTTATTAATTTTACATTCATTCTAAAGGTTGGTAGACGTATTTGAGTAAGTTGTTTACACAGTTCACTTCTCCTTTGCAAAGCTATTTATGAGATTTTTTTCCTGATAATCTCCTTGTATCAGTGCTGGCACTTAAAATCATCCCATAAAACATTTCTTTCATGTTTAAGCTTCACTGCCTCAAACTTAAAGGCATGGCTTATGAAAGTCTGAGGGTTCTGGAAGCAGGAGTTCCTAGATCAAATCCTATAATTCATCGCCCCGCTTTGCCTGTCTTCCTCCTTTCCCCTCCTCCAAGTCAAGGGTATCTTCCAAGAAAAAGAGAAGGCACAAAAAAACCGTCTGAGAGTTGTGTGTGGTGCAAAGGGAAGAAGGACATTGGTGCTCCTTTACATTGATGGTGGAGGGTACATATCGGCTAATTATATTAGGGCTTTTTTCTTTAAATATTTAAGAAAACAAATCTTCTGTCTTAAAACAGAGACCCCACATTCTTTCCCCTCCTCCTGCCATGAGTAAGTAACATATGATGTGCTGTTGTAGAGTCCAAGGTATGAGTGAGTAAATGTGACTTGAAGTGAATTACTGGTTCTAATTAAATATCTGTCCTTTCCCAAATAAGTATGGAAACTTTGTAATCTACTGCTGTTTGGGATTGATAATATTTGAATACATATTAAGCCACATTTGCATCAGGGAAAAAGGACAAGTATGCTGATAAGAGCCAAAAAGATGGATATAGTCCAAAAGATGACAGAAATAGTATTTAACTGACTGATGACAGATTTTTTGAGGTCACAGCATCTACTTTACATGGACAGTATTTATAACAGTTTGGAAGACCTATTATGGCAATACTCATTTGTCAGTAACACAACAAAGAAATAAATGTAACAGTGATATAACACTGATGTAAAATTTATTTTGATTTTTCCTCGGGGCTGGAGCGATAGCACAATGGATAGGGCGTTTGCCTTGCAAGCAGCCAACATGGCCAACCCGAGTTTGATTCCTCCACCCCTCTCAGAGAGCCGGGCAAGCTACCGAGAGTATCAAGCCCGCACAGCAAAACCTGGCAAGCTACCCGTGACATTCAATATGCCAAACACAGTAACAACAAGTCTCAAAATGGACATGTTACTGGGCCCGCTGGAGCAAATCGATGAACAACAGGAGGACAGTGACAGTGACAGTGATTTTTCCTCGACCTTTGGAATAGATTCAAATTCTGGTTAGAACTTTTTTTTAATCCAGGAGTTTTACTGTTTCTCATGTTTACATGTCCATGTTTGTAGTAAAATACTAATTAAAGAGAGTACATGAACCAAGTAATAAATAAAGCATCTTGCCATTAATTTGATTCCTGTGTTTGGGATTCATTTCATAAGACTGGAGGAAAAGCTGAAGGAATTAACAGCTTTCTTAGTTCTGATAGTTCACTTTACTTCTTGCTTTACTGGATTAAGGGCAGATAGACTTTGATGCAATGTCAACTAGTCCTTGGATTTTAATTTTTTTTATATCTCTAACTCTCCCAATATACATATTAACTGAGTCAGATAATCATCACAGAGAAAGATCAAAGTGTTATTGGTTCTTTTCTTGTTCTATGAAAGTGGGTCACTTACTATACCATCCACCTTCACCACTGTCTTCTTGTTTTGTAAGTCTTATTTTATAATATCCTTTAAAATTAAACAACTAGCAATAATGTCATGTTATTATATCCTAAAAGCACAGCAAGTCTTTAAATATTTATAAGAAAACTAATTTCTGATTAAAGTCATTTAGTGCTAAATCTTGCACTGAATGATGATACAGAAATTTGATCGTAAAGGAAAATACTGAAAATAACAAAACAAGTTTTATTAAAGATAAGAGTGGGAACCCAGGCTGAAAGAGAAGGTCCTATTCCCTTTTTTTGTTCATTTTGGGTTTTGTTTTCTGGGAACTTTTAAATATTTTTATTTAAAGAATTAAGTATGTGTGCTATCCCTTTTCATACAACTTAAGTTTTGATATAACAATATTTTCTGTGTAAATTTTAATTGGCTCATTTCCCATTGCAATTGTCTAAAAGTATTTTTAGTTTGTTTTATAGCAATATTGTGTTTATAAAATAATGTCAAAATCAAACACTTTTTTATACTTCCATTTGGAATAAGTTTTCATAATCTATAGAAACCCTCTTATAATTTGATGCCACAAAAAACATTATTAATTAAGACAGCTTGGGTTTTTTATTTGATTTACTTTTTTTTTAATTTAATTGATTGAGGCTCTGTGATTTACAACATTGCTAATGATCATTTGCTATATACATGATTTTTCTCATGAAGGTGCTATTAATAAAACAGTTAATCTACAAATTTTGTTTAGCTAAAGAATTTTTAAGAGTAAAAACTTTTTATACCGGTTAGTGAGTATCACTCTGAAAAAGGCAGAGTATAATGAAAAGTTTATAAAGGATGGAACAGTAAAAGACAAATTTAGAATTTAAGTGGTACTCTATATCAAATTACTAGATTAACTAAAACTAATTCACAGTTTTTTTTCACACCTGAAGTCTAACTTTATAAAAAGTGCTTAGCTTAATCAGTCTGAAGAACTGTGTCCTGGTATTGCTATAGAAATGAATGAGTACATTGTGATGATAGAACTTTCTGTTTTAAATGAGCATGCTCTCTCCTCATTCAGCCACTGGATGACTTTGGAGCATGTGAATATAGTGGTTTTCTGTAATTTTTGACTTACTCTTTGTTTTTCTTCTTCTTTTACAACAGTCAGTCATCAAGGCCAAGTCCCAGGATTCCAGACTGGGTACCGAGTCTGTGAAGTAGTAAGCAGTTTTTCTTCCTGCATAATTTGATGTGATAAATACTTAGAATTTTAAAATTGTTTCTCAGTTTTCTTTTTTTAGCAATACACTGTAAATTAAATTTTAAATAATGGATATTAAGACAGCTTGGGTTTTTTTATTTGATTTACTCTTTTTAATTTAATTGATTGAGGCTCTGTGATTTACAACATTGCTAATGATCATTTGCTATACACATGATTTTGACACCACACTCATCACCAGTGTACCCACCTCCCTCCCCCAAGTTCCCTAGAGTTCCTCCCTTTCAACACACATACAGACACAATTTTGTGGATAAGTTCTCCCATTATACTGCTATTGAGTCCTTATTGCTGTCTTACTGTGTCCCACATATAAGAGAGGTAATTCTGTATTTATCCTTTAATGCAGTTTGGTTTAAATTAAGGTTTATTTTTCTCTTTCCTTAATTATAATGCCAAAGAATTTCAGAGGTTTAAATAAACAACTCTATAGATGTGTGTAAAATCAGTTTTTTGTGATTGAGTGTGATATTAGTTGTGAGTTTGTTTTATATTGCCTTCACTGTGTTGAAATATATTCTTTTTATTCCCAATGAAAACTTTTTTCCCAAAGTGAGTGGTTTTTGTAATAATTTTATGTTGAATCTAGGCAAAGATTTATGTTGACTCTTTTTAGCATATGTTGAAATAGCCATGTGGTTTTTATCTTTTTGTTAAAATGTGGTATACTACATTAATTGATTTGCACATTGATTTCATCCAACCTGGTCATGAGTATTGATTCTTCTGGTATGTTGTTGGATTTAATTAGTCAAGACTTTGTTGAGAATTTTTTCATTTGTTTCAATCGATATCAGTCTGTAGTTTTATGTTTTATGGCTATGCTAAGGGAAATTTGTGTTGGTGGTTTTGGGGGGCCCCAAGTTGACAGTGCTTGGATGCTATTCCTGACTTAACACCCAAGTTCACTCTGAGAACTTTGCAGTTCCAAGTATCTAATCTGAGACTCCCCCGTGCAAGACAAAACTATGCTTTAGTCCTCTGGGCTATTACTGTGGCCCCTAAGGAGAATTTTTTATGATTAAATTTTGAAACTGTGTATTGAAAATCTTATATAAGAAATATTTTTGGTAATTTATTTTAACTTTTTTGTGTATTTTGTCTTTTTTGTTTGGGGAAGACCATCCCAGTTATTACCAGCTCTGTGCTCAGAGGCCATTCCCTCTATTTGCGAGACCAGGTGCCCAGAGATCAGAATCTGGACTACCACATGCAAAGCATGCATGCAGTACACTGGGCTTCTCCAGCCTCAAGACTTTTTTTGAGGGAAGGGGGCATACCTGATTGTGTTCAAGGGTTTTTCTTGGCTCTGTGCTCAGGGATCACTCCTGGTAGAGCTCAGGGGACCATATGGAATGCCACAGATTGAACCTGGGCATAGTCACATACAAGGCAAGAACCCTGCCTGTTGGACTGTCATTCCAACCCTCAAAAAATATTTTTAAATTAAAATGTCATGCTACATTTTTTTCATGATTTGTTTAGTTACTCATTTTGATGATATTTACTTATTTAACATTTTTAAGTGAAATATCCTGAAAATAATTGAATTATATGTAAAAATAATGCCTATTTTGAGGATTAAAGAAAACTGCTTGTGTACAAAACATTGTCGTTGTGTATTCATTAAATAGATTCAAGTACATTTATTCTAAATATATTGTGTATTTTAAAAGATCCCTGGGAAATTTTGTTCTTTTACTTGGTTCTTATATCACTTAATGCAAAAATTAAAAATCCCTCTTTTACCTGAAAGTTTTTACATTAAAAATATTACCAAATGTTTCTCATTGTAGGTCATTTGAATCTAATCTTAAATCCATACTTCGTATTCACAGTGTATCCCTGTCAAATGATTACATGATTGTAATGACCTTAAACATTTTAATTATCTCTTATGCTTTCTGTCACCCCCATATACACATGAGTACATATTTACATACATGTGCAGGCACTAATTTCCTACTTAGTTTACTTCAGGAAAATATTTGTTCACTTCTTCCTGCTGTTCTTCAATGCTTTGAGGCATAATATATATTTCCCAGTTCAAAAATTGACTGTTATTAACACTGTTTTGACAAGAATGGTTTAACATAACTACAGTATTTGTAAAATTTTAGAACTTTTTACCTAACAAATGAACGAAAGATTCTCTAAGTACAGTGGCACCTATTTTTAGGTGACAGATCCATGTCATGATTATCAGATTGAAGTTTAACAAAACCTTACAAATATCCCTGCTTCTAAAGATTGTCCAGTAAACTCGCTTCTCCTATTGACCATTTAGCACTTAAGAAGCTTCTAAACACAAAGAATTATTTAGGAAGTTGAGATATGCAAAATGCTCAAATCCATCTCAGGATTTTCCCAATACTTGCAGTTTCTTAGAATAGGATTAACTTCAGACCTATTTCTCATGAGTTGAAAACTGTAGGTAAGTTGTATGTAGACTATATAGCTCAGTATATACAAAATATCATTTGTTTCTTCGGTTTACCTAAATGAGTCCATAAAACCCAAGAAAATGGACATTAATGTATTTTTATGTTTCTTGTCAGCCTTATCATTCAGTTGTGATAATTGCTTATTAGAGGGATGACACAGACATGTAACTGAGCCATATAGAAATGCCTCGAGCAGTTTCCACTTGAGTTACTAATCTTATTTATCTTTGTATAAGAATTATAACTCACTTATATTTATTTAAGTTTTTATAAGCTAAACACGGCAAAGCCTGGCAAGCTCCCCGTGGTGTATTCGATATGCCAAACACAGTAATAAGTCTCACAATGGAGACGCTACTGAGCCCACTCGAGCAAATCGATGAACAATGGGAGGCCAGTGCTACAGTGCAGTGCTACACACATTAAAGTATGAAAAAATTATAGAACTGTAGGTAAATTCTACAAAAAGATTTTCTTGACAGTTTTACACTTTCACCTTTTGCCTATGACACTGCTGCCCAATTCAAAGTTCATAATAAAACTTCTATAAATATTTTATAATACCGATAAGTAGCTTTGTTCTTGCATAGGTATCAATATATGTTTTCTTGAGTTTGTTGGGCTTTTAAAATATAGAATGCTTTATTTCATTAATAACTTTGGTCAAAGAGAAATTAATTTAGATGCTTCAATTATATTAAAGTTTTCTACAAACACTTAAATGTGACCTGAATGGACAAATAAAATTTCTTCTTAATAGACTTCTTTTATAAGTAAAATTCCAAGTATACAATCTCTTTACTATATACTTTTCATCTTTATGACCTATGAATTCTTTGAATTTCCACTTCTCTTCTTGAGGAAGTAGTTTACTCTTTTTCTAAAACAACTTGTTGTTTGAAACATTTTATTTGAAGGTGAGGGGCAGTTTCTTTTGTATTGTGGGTTTTTTTTTTTTCGTTTGGGGGCCACAGAACCAAAAGCGATAAGTATGATAGTGTTCAGGGCCTAGTCCTGGTTCTATATTTGAACCTCACTTCCAGAGTGCTCGGTGGATCAAGCTCCCTGGCTTTCTGCGTGCAAACCATGAGCTCAGCCATTGAACTATCTCTGTGAATGCAACTTTTTAAAAGAATTCTCACTTTAATTATCCTTTTTAAAATATTTTTTACCCTTCTCTATATCTTAAATCAAATCATCCACTTACCCTGCTTCATGAGCGGAGGGGAGAAGGCAGATGGAATAGAGAAGGGATCACTAAGAAAATGATGGCTGGAGGAATCAGTCGGGATGGGAGATGTGTGCTGAAAGTAGATAATGAACCAAACATGATGACCTCTCAGTGTCTGTATTGCAAACCATAATGCCCAAAAGTAGAGAGAGAGTACGGGGAATATTGTCTGCCATGGAGGCAGGGGGAGGGTGGGAAAGGGGGGTATACTGAGGAGATTTGTTGATGGGGAATGTGCACTGGTGGATGGATGGGTATTTGATCATTGTATGATTGTAACCCAAACATGAAAGCTTGTAACTATCTCACAGTGATTAAATAAATATTTTTTAAAAAATCATCCACTTCCAGGTGTGTAATATCAATATTCTTTATGCATTCTTTATCAGCTACATGATTTTCATATTATACTCAGCCAGTACTTGTTTTACTTCTTCATTCTTTCAATATGGTTTTCTGAGAACAAACTTTTTTCTCTTTTTGATTAATTTATTGATGAATCATATTTTATTCTTTATTCTTAAGAAAGCTTTGATGACCCAAAGCCACATAGATTTCTTTACTGTGTTTTCTTGTGAAAGCTCTATAATTGTGTTTTATTATTTGTGTCAATGTATTCTTCTAGTTTTTGTGTGCTGTTAGGTTTGAATTTAAAGAGTTTCTTCTGGTTTAGCATTGGGTGCCCAGTTATTCAGGTTTCATTTGCTGGTAAAAATAATCCTATCTTAACCAAATGACCTCTGCAGCTTTGTTGAAAATCAGTTGTTTTCATTATTAGTGAGTTTTGTTTCTGGATCCTATATGAATCCATTAATCTATTTCTCTAATCTATTTTCTTCATTGTTACCTAGTAAATTCAACTCTATCTGATCTATTTACATAATCTATTTACACAAGTAATACACTGTCCTGATCATTGATTTTTATAGATAGAGTCAGCAACACTGAGATTATGAGACCGAAATTTTATTTTATTTTATTTTTTAAATTTTTTATTATTGAATCACTGTGCAATACAGTTACATGCTTTCATGTTTGATTTCAATCATAAAATGATCAAACACCCATCCCTCCACCAGTGCACATTCTCCACCACCAGTATCCCCAGTATACCCCCCTTTTCCAAACCTCCCCTTGCCTCCATGGCAGACAGTTTCCCCCAAACTCTTTATCTACTTCTGAGCATTATGGTCTGCAATACAGTTACTGAGAGGTTATCATGTTTGTTCCTTTATCTACTTTCAGTACACATCTCCCATCCCG